GGCGTGCATATATCTGTTCTTGTTATGGCTCTCACTTCTTTAGGGTATATACCTAGTAATGGGATGGCTGGGTCAAATGGTATTTGTATTTTGACATGGATATTCTTGAAAATGATTTTTTGCTAACAACCAATTTATCAAACTCCTGAATCTTGACTATTATCACCTTGCTTCCCCTAAGTAATTTAAATGGGCCAAGATCCGCAGTCCCCAGCCTTTTTTTTTTTAATCAGTATAAGCAATTCTATCTTTTACCCATATGAGTTTCAAAAAAATTTGAAAAATTTTTGAATTTCAAAAAAATTTGAAATCAGCTGATAAATAAAAGGAGTTGATGTATGATAAGGTAGTGCACCTAACTCAAGCCATGTTATTTTCATTTGCCTCATACACATGAGAAAGCTGAATGATGAATGAGTAAGACCACAAAATAATTGATGGATTTGAATTGTGGTGGTGGTGAAAGATGTTGACTGTACCATGGACTGCCAGAAGAACAAACAAATCAGTTGTGCAAGAAGTATGGCTACAATGGTCCTTAGAACCAAGAATAGCCAAACTTTGTCTCTTGTACTTTGGTCATGTTATCAGGAAGGTCAAACCCCTGGAGAAGAACATCATGCTTCATAAAGTAGAGGGCCAGAGAAAAAGGTGAAGACCCTTAGCAAGATGGACCGACAGAGTGGCTGTAACAGTGGGCTCAAGCATAGCAACTATTGTGAGGATGGCACAGAACTGGACAGTGTTTTATTCTTTTGTATATAGGGCCGGTATGAATCTGAAACAACTCAAAGGCACCTAACAGCAGCAAGGTGGCGCTACTGGAAAAACTGATGGTAAACAGTGGACAGGTGAGAATACCATTGTCCCTGAATCATTGGAGAGCTGGCGGCAATTACCTCTGAACCTCAAGCCCTGGAAACACCCCAGAGCTCCTGAGCAACATGTTGTTTATGATCACTGACCTGGATATCAGGGCTGTGTGAGCAACACCCCCACACCTCAATACCAAAAATGTAAGAGAACATGAAGTGGTAATTCATCCAGACTGCAGTTGATTCCAACTCCCTTATGTTGAATCACACAAGAAAATCCCTTGTAAATTATCAATATGAAAATCTCCTGTTAGTCACATTTAAATAGTGGGATTAAGTTAAGCAAGCTATTAGGTCATCATATTTTAAAGTAAAATAGGGAATTGAGTTTTTAGAAGCATCTGTTATTAAGATGTTACTTTAAATGCATTGTGAGTCTAATAGGCTTTTGCTTTTATATCAGGTTATCTGTGCGACGGTTGCATTTGGAATGGGGATTGACAAACCAGATGTGCGATTTGTGATCCACGCATCTCTCCCTAAATCAGTGGAAGGTTACTACCAAGAATCTGGCAGAGCTGGAAGAGATGGGGAAATATCTCACTGCCTGCTTTTCTATACTTATCATGATGTGACCAGACTGAAAAGACTTATATTGAGTAAGCCGAGCTTCATTGTGGAGATGTTCTGTCATCTTTGGTCTTCATAGTAATCTGTCTGCTCCTGCTTATTGTGGTACTTTTGGTCCAGTTTTCCTTAATTAATCATAAAATAATCAACCAAAAAAAAAAAACCCAAACCTGCTGCCATTGAGTCGATTCTGACTCAATAGGTAACAACCCAATAGGACAGAATAGAACTGTCCCATAGAATTTCCAAAGCTTAAATCTTTATGGAAGCAGGCTTTTTGGTGAGTTCAAACCACTGGCCTTTTTGTTAAGAGCCAAGCACTTTAACCACTGTGCCACTGATGGTTTTTATAGAATAATAGGGGTGTTTATACAGACAATGGAAAATTTATATTAGTTCATTTTTATTATAACAATACAAACACGCTGCCGTTGAGTCAGACCTGACCTGTAGCAACCTCTTCTTGGGTTTCCAAGGCAGTATCTCTATGGAAGTAGATTGCCCAGTCTTCCTTCCGAGGAATGACTGATGGGTTTGAACTGCCAGCCTTCTGGTTAGCAGTCAAATGCCTTTGGCACTAAGCCACTCCCTATTATAACAACAGTACATGGTTATTATTAAAACTTAAGTGATACAGACATGTGTAAAGCAAAAAATTCCTAAGTAGTGTCTTATTGTCCTACCCCAATAAATAACTCATGACTGGTTTCCAGGCCCAATCTCTGCATGCATCCTTACGTAAAATACACATTTCAAACATATGAAAAGGTAAAAAAGAAATATAATGTACTCCCAGATACTGCCACCCAGCTTCAGAAATAAAACATAGACAATAGAGCTGAAACCCCCTTATGTCCCTTCCCTATGTCTACTGTCTACTCCCCATCAGAGAGAGGCAGTATCTTGTATTTTATGTTTACCATCCTCAAATACATGTATTTTATTTTTTTAATTATACGTATGTTTTTCATATCAATACCGTAATGTAATTATAATTCCCATTAATTCTCATAGCTTTACATAGAATCCCATAGTGTCGTTATTCCATATTGATTTAACCAATCCCCTATCAATAGATATTTAGATTGTTTATTGTTTTTCACTATTATCAGCAGTACAATCTTGAGCATCCTTGTACCAGGTATCTTTCAGCATTTGGACAATAATATATGTAGAATGAGTTTCTCAGCTAGACTTGCTGGGACACAGTGAATACATATTTTAGAATTTGATTGTTCTTTGGCCATTTTTCTATTCATTTGTGATGGTTAAATGATTCCTAAATACATTGATCCATTTTGAGACTATTTTTGAATCAACTCTGGCAGAGTCTTGATGGAACCCAGATTTGTCTGAGTTAGAGTTCTTGTTCATTACTCTATACCAAGATGATTCCCACTGAAAAATGAAACTTTGACATCTGATTTGCCCGTTTATGTTTTTAAATAGAACCCATAAGAAGTAGTTAGGTCCAAACAATTTAACAGGTATTTAAGTCCTGATAACTTAGTAATAATATATGTTCTAATAACTTAGTGACCATTTGAAAAAAATAATACTCATAAACTAGGAGAAAAACTATTTTTATTTCACTCTTAAATAACCACAGTTGCTCACTGATGGCAATTTTGCACCTATTGTTCTCAGACCTTGGAATTAAATTGGACATTGTCAACTTCATTTCCTATTTCACATGGATTTTCTTGAGATACTTGCTTTTATTATAGCAACTGCCAAAAATCTGCTTCACAAAAATAAGATGTTGGAAAGAATGGAGTGCAATCTAATGTTAAAAACATGAATTACCTCGAACTAGTAGTTCATGCAGTATTTACCAGATGTCAAGGATTGTTTGCTGTGTTTCCCTTAAATTTTCCTACCATTGCCTCTGGGAGTTCAGTTTGGCACCCTGGGGCTCCTTAGAACACAATTTTGGAACCACTGGCTTACCCACTTTGACCAAAGATACTTGGGGATGTACACAGCCCACTGCCATAGTTCTGGGCTATGTTGATTTTGGAAGTTCAGTCTAGTACATGCTTATCGGATAAATATAATAAATACAAGTCATCTTCATTGTGATGAAATAATGAAGATTTACAGAAATTTTTCAGCTGCTCTTAATCTAGTATTTATTCCTCTAAAACCTAAACTCCCAAGAGGTGGACATATATAAATACCTAGTTAATTATAATACAGAATGATTTCATACTAGCATACAATGCTGCTATAATAATTTGTTTCACTTCATTAAGTATTTACTTATATGGATCTAAGTATTTCTGTGATATTCTCTCTTTTTCTACTCTAATTAACTATTTTTAACTATGCTTTTTATCTCTTTTAGTGGAAAAAGATGGAAACCATCATACAAAAGAGACTCACTTCAATAATCTGTATAGCATGGTACATTATTGTGAGAACATAACAGAGTGCAGGAGAATGCAGCTTTTGGCTTACTTTGGGGAAAATGAGTTTAATCCTGATTTTTGTAAGAAATACCCAGATGTTTCTTGTGATAATTGCTGTAAAACAAAGGTAAAATAAGAAAGTTTTAAATCCTTTGTAAGTAAGGAAATTTCCAACATTTTTTCTTTCTTCTGTTAATTTAGAAAAGTAGATATAAGGGCCTAACGGACTAACCAAGACCATACACCAAACCAAACCAAACTCACTGCCATCGAGTCAGTTCCAACTTATAGCAACCCCTCCTTGAGTTTCCGAGGAGGTATCTCTACGGAAGTAGATTGCCCAGTCTTCCTTCCGAGGAGTGGCTGGTGGGTTTGAACTGCCAGCCTTCTGGTTAGCAGTCAAATGCCTTAGGTACTACGCCAGAATAGAAACATTTTAAAAGTAATTTTATGGATTCTATTTCCTTTAGAATAGAAGCCTGTATGAAAAATACCTACTGGACATTGACCTGTCCAAAATACTAAGGTTCATATACATGCACTGATGATTATAAAATATAATATGTGGCATAAATATTAAAATGGTCCAACTCTGGAAGGTAGGATATTTTAAATTCAACCTATATTTAGAACTTTTATTTTCAAATGTGATATAATAACTAGTATGTATTTGACTGCTACCAGAAGGCTGGTGGTTCAAACTTACCAGCCACTCTTCGGAAGCAACACTGGGCAATCTACTTCCGTAGAGATACCACCTTGGAAATCCAAGAAGGGGTCGCTATGAGTTGGATTCGACTTGGCGATAGTGAGTTTTTTTGTTGTTTTTGCATATTACTCTATAAATTGTTTTTAAAGAATAATAGGAGCTCTGGTAGCATAGTGCCTAAGGCACTTGACTGCTAACCAGGAGGCTGGCGGTTCAAACCCACCAGCCACTCCTCGGAAGGAAGGTTGGGCAATCCTACTTCCGTAGTGATAACTGCCTCGGAAACCCAAGGAGGGGTCGCTAGGAGTTGGGGCCGACTCGATGGCAAATAACAACAACAACAAAGAATAATGGAAATGGCTTCTGGGTGAGTTTACTGTTATATGTTCTAAAAATAACCTTGGAAGGTTAAATTCAATTGGATTCTTACTAGATATTTAATTGCACCCTCATGGTAATTCTACATTTTAATATCGTGTGTATTTTACGGCTTACACATCATTTTCACATTTGGTATATTATTTAACATGTACCCTATGAAATACATGGGTGAATAGTATGCTCACTTTATAGATTTAGAAACCAAATATTAATCTACGTGCTAGGCTCTGTGACAGATGCCAGGGATTCACAAATGAGCATAGTGCAGACCACTTCATAGATGGGAGGGGAGACAGATGTTTATGTATTCATATAATCATGTGATAGGTACAGTTACAGAGAACTACAGTGCTAGCCAGAGCAGCAGGTAGGTCATTTACTCTCCCTTGATAGAGAATCTGAAGGTCCATGGTCATCCTCACCATCTTCCCCACCCTGTGGACACTATTTATCACTTCACTCATTAAATACATATTTGTTGAGCACCTTACTCTGTAACAGGCACTGTTCTAGGAATTTGGATACATCACTAAACAGAGGAGGTCAAGGTGACTGCCCTTTTGGAGTTTACATTCTAGCAGAGGAAGGCAGATCATAAACAATATATATAATAAGCAAATCTTAAGGGTAAGACATGTGGCAGAAAAAAAGTACAGCAAAGTAAGGAGACAGGAGTAACGGGAGGGTGCAGGATGCAGGATCAGATTAGATGGTCAGAGGAGTCTTATTGAGAAGGTGAGATCTGAACAAAGACTTGGAGAAGGTAAGGGAGTTGGCTGAGCAGCTCTCTGGGAAAGGGCATTCCTGGCAGAAATGTGGGCCCTGTGGTGGGGGTGTCCTGGTGTGTTTGAAGAATAGCAAGAAAGCCCATGTAGCTAAGTGGAGTTAAGAGTTAGTGAGTGGGAGAGATAATAGAGGTCCAGAGTAGTAGCTCTTTGGAGGCTGTTGTAAGGACTTTAGTTTTTACTCAGAATGAAATGCAGAGTTTTGCAGGATTTTGAACAGAGGAGTGATGTGATCTAATTAGCTTTAAAAGGATGTCTTTGGCAGAGAGTGAACTAGAGAGAGGAAAGGACAGAAGCAGAAAAACCTGTTAAAGATGCTAATGGTGGCTCTCACTAGGTTGGTAGTGGGAAAGGTGGTGGTCAGATTCTGGATGTATTTCTAAGGATTTCTTCACAATGTGGAATGTACATATGACTCCAAGTTTTGAGGCTGAGTAACTGTAACAATGGCATTGCCCTGAGCTAAGATGAGGAAGGCTGTGGGCAGGGCAGGTTTGACAGGAAAGGTCAAGAATTCAATTTAGGGCATATTGAATTAGATCTGTCAGACTCAGGAGTTCTGAAAAGAGGCTGGTGATACATATAAATTTGGGGGTGGTTAGCATATAGATGGTATTTGAAGCCACGAGACCAGATAAAATATTCAAGGGTATAAGTTTAGACAAAAGAAGAAAACCAGAGACCACGCCTTGGGACATTAAGTGGTTGAGGAGAGATGTTGGAACTAGGAAAAGAAACCAAGAAAGAGAACTAGTGAGACAGGATGAGAACCAAAGAAACGAGAAATGGTGAAAGTGTTTCAAGGAGGAGGCAATACTACATCAAATGCTGCTGCTAAGTTAAGTACAGTAAAGACTGAAGATTCACCATGGGGTTTGGCACCACAGAAATCATGGTAACCTTGACCAGTTTCAGTGGAATGGGACAAAATCTTTACTGGAATGAGAGATGGAGAGGAAAGTTGGAGACAGTGAATGTAGACAACTCTTTCAAATTTTGTTGCAAAGGTAAGCAGAGAAACAGCAGTGGCTGGCAGGGGAAGCAAGAGTTAAGAAAAGAGGGGAAAATAGCAACATCTTTGTTTGCTGATAGGAATATACCTATAGAGAAAGAAAATTGATGTGTAAAGGGAGAATTATTGAAGCAATGTCCTTGAGAAGCAACCAGGATCTAGTGTGTAAGTAGAGAGATCAGAATTAGAGAGGAGCTTAGGTAGCTCAGGTGGGAAGATCAGAAAATGTGGGAGACATGCTGGGAAGTGGGTAGATGTAGTGATGGGAGTTTATGAAAGTTCTGGTTGTTTCCATTTCCTCAGTGAAGTAGAAAACAAGGTCATCAGCTGACAGTGTGCATAGGAGAGGGATTGAGGAGAAGGAGGCCAGCCAACTTTATCTTAAGGGTCAGAGAGTAAATATTTTAGGCTTTGTGTACTATACAGTCTGTCACAACTACTTAGCTCTGCTAGTGTAGCCCCAAAGCAGCCACAGACAATACATAAACAAATGGGCATGGCTGTGTTTAGGAAAACTTTATTTACAAAAATAGGTATTCAATTCATGGGCCTTAGTTTGCTGATCCCTCCTGTTCTAGAATAATTAGGGGAGTGATAGACTAGGAGTGTATAATGATTACCTGGAAGCATTAAGGGTCCACTTGAGGTTTGAAAGTAAGAACTGTCAGCATGGTTGTGTGTGTTTCTCTGGTTGAGTTCAGCCTCACAGGTGCAGATGTGGAGCAGGTGGAGAATCAGATCTATTGTGATTGGCCATGTGATGAAATGACCTAAGGGCACGGGAATTGGGAATATACAACAGGTAATGAGTATGACTGACTCTGGGTTTAAGCTGAGTCAGGAGGACATCTGAGGGTGAGGATCAATGGATAGGTATTCCCAGTAGAGTCAGAAGATCATTGTAGTCAGAATACTAGAGGGAATGATGTGGTGATCAGAAAATGAAGGGGTTGCTGTTATTTTTAAGGTAGGAGGTGTGACCATGGGAGTGAGCGGCTGGCATACATGAAGGGCAGAATCATTGGAACAGAGGAGATCAATATGCCAAAGACCAGGGTGTTGGGAGAATCATCTCTGTGTACTGAAGTGACCCAGAATTAAGACAGGAATGATGTTGAGAGTGACAGATCACTCTTTCTTGCAGGTGATAGAGCCTCAAAATCACTACCAATTGCTGATATAAGAAAAGAAATCTATTTGTCTTCTCATGAGAGTGTCACAGGAAATAATGTTTTGTGTAAGCCTTCAGGCTGTAGGTGTGACTGCCAACCAGAAGGCTGGTAGTTCAAACCCACCAGCCACTCCTTGGAAGAAAGGTTGGGCAATCTACTTCCGTAGAGATACCACCTCAGAAACCCAAGGAGGGGTCTCTGTGAGTCGGATCCGACTCGATGGCAGTGAGTTTGATTTGGTTTTGGTTTTGGTATATTCAGAGGCACTGAAGCTTAATGTAATTAGTATTGCTTGTATAGAGAACTAGTTAGATCAGAGAGATCATCTAATAGCAGGGATTTTAAAAAGTGGGCAAAGTTGGAGACAACTGTGAGGAATGAGAAAGGGAACTGACAGAAGAAAAGAAGGATTGACTGTGGTGTTGAAGAGCCAAAGAGATTACAACTTGTGATTTGTATGGCTGGACACTATTTCTTATCCCAAAAGTTGTCATTCAATAAGAAACAGCACTGTTCTAGGTGATGCGAAATATTAAAAAAGAAAAGGAACCGTATTCTCACCCATAGGCAGTTGGAAGATAAGATGTATGTCTGTGAAACAGTAATAAAATAGGTGTGTTGTTGTTAAGGTGCCATCAACTTGGTTCCAACTCCTAGTAACCCTAAATACAACAGAATGGAACACTGTGCAGTCCCGTGCCATCCTCACAGTTGTTGCTATGTTTGGATCCATTGTTGCAGTCACTGTCACTCCATCTCATTGAAAGTCTTCCTCTTTTTCCCTGACACTCTACTTTACTAAACTTAATGTCCTTCTCCAGGGTCTGGTCCTTTCTGATAACATGTCTGAAGTACATGACATATCCTTGCTTCTCTGATTCTGACTCTACTTCTTCCAACACCTATTTATTCGTTCTTCTGGCAGTCCATAGTATATTCAATATTCTTTGCCAATGCCAAATGCAAATGCATTGATTTCTCTGCAGTCTTCCTTATTTATTCACTGTCCAACTTTCACATGCATGTGAGGCAACTGAAAATATCCTGCCTCGGATCAGGCACACCTTATTCCTCAAAGTGACATCTTTGCTTTTGACATTTTTAAAGAGCCCTTTTGCTGCATACTTTCCCAATATAATACATCATTTTATTTCTTGAGTGCTTTTTCCCTGGGCAGTAAATTGTAAAACAGGTATAACAGAATGCTGATTATTTTAGATGAATAATTAACACAAGAACATAGGAAAGAGTGAACACTCACAACTTCTTGGTTTTTAGTCTAAGTTTTAGTCTGGAAAGGGTTTATTATGAGATTACTGCAGTTAATATTAAACCCTAGAAATCTAGGTATCATTATCTCAATCATAACTAAAAGTAATCTCCTTCTGTTGATAGGATTTTAAGATAAAAGATGTGACTGATGAGGTGAAAAATATCTTAAGATTTGTTCAAGAATATAATTCATCACAAGGAATGAGAAATATAAAAAATGTAGGTCCTTCTGGAAGATTTACTATGAATATGCTGGTTGACATTTTCCTGGGTAAGTCATCTGTTTTATTTGATTTTAAAATTTATTTTAATTGAAATTGAACATCTAAATAATTCATTACAAATACATAGAAAAAAGTATCTCTTTTGTCTATTTCTTACAGACCTCAATACTCTAGGGTTTCAGAATAAAACATTTTTGCATATCAAAACAAAATCCATTTTTATTATGCCAATTATTTTATCAAATTAACATAAGACACAAAAATGAGAAGTGTTCACACACAAGAAAGTAAATATTAACGCATAGAACGTTTAATCTGAGTGAGCAGGATGTAACTTGCTTGAAGAGCTACCTGTTGATTAACCTCTAGTTCAAGATGGTAGCCCGAGCATACGTATCAGCCTTCTCTTTCTCTTGAGATCCTATTAAAATGATAGTAAGAAAATAAAATGGGGATTTAACTTGTAACAGCATAGGGAGCAAGAAAGAGACCATCAGATTGTTGTTGTTTGGTGCCGTCAAGTAATTCCAATTCTTGGTAACCCCACGTGGCAGAGTAAAACTGTTCCATTGAGTTTTCTTTACGGAAACAGAATGCTAGGCTTTTCTCCCACAGAGTTACTGGAGGGATTCAAACTGCTAACCTTTTGGTTAGCAGCCAAGTGCTTAACTATTGCACCATCAGAGTTCTAAAAAATATTTTAGGAATTGAGTGGAAGCGTATTGACAAATGAAGCAAAATAGTGTAAACCACAGCTCAAAATAAATGTAGGAGAGAGTTCAGCAGAGGAGGAAGTATCGACCAGGCAGAAACCTATCACTAGGCATCAGGCTTGAAGTCAGGAAGTACAGAGGGTGAGAGTGAAAGCAGGGAGCCAAAAGCAGAGAGAGGGGTGTTTAAAGTACTGCAAGTGTTAAAGTATTGCCTCATCTCCCAATCCCCTACACAAAGAAAGCAAACAGCCTAGAATTAATTGCTATAACAAAAATAAATATAGTAAATGCCTGGGGAGTTCAAGGGCAATCGAGTTACAGGCAAGAGCCCCAGAGTAACGCTCTACTGTTTTTCAGCATTTGGAGACTGCTCAGCCCAAAGTTCATTCCTACCCACTCACCCTAAAGCAAAGCCTTGTAGTTTGATATCCCCACTCAGGGGGCAAATTTAGGAGGAAATAAAACAGCAGAGGAAACCACCTAAAAAAATAGTAATAACCTAGTATCTAAAGGTTAATATAAATGGGCAATCAAGAGAAAGACCACAATAAGTAGAATATTTGACTCTGTGGGATAGATATAATTGAGGGTGGATTCCTAGTTAAGTATCTTCATGAAGATTTAGAGATTTAAGATACTGCATTGTTTCAATAACAGAAGCATGTTATAGAAAAGAAGCAAAGAATTAAATAACACTGTTGGTAATTCTTTATATGATAAAATAGATTTAGTGAAAGGTTAGCAGGTAAAGTCAAGAAAATCTTTGAAGATATGAACAAAAAGATGTATGGAAACTATTAGAGACAAAATAGACATGATCAGTGCTTAGGAGATTTAAAATCTGTATAATAAAAATTTTGTAAATAGAATATAAAAAGAAGAAATTATGAAACAAATGATAAAATTCCCCAGAATAGAAGAGAGAACGAGCCTTCAGATTAAAAGACCCATTGAGTGCCAAGTATGATGTTTAAAAAAAATTTTTAAGACCTATCCTGTGAAATTTGAAAATACCAAGAATAAAGAGACAATACTGGAAGTTGTTGGGCAGAAAAACCAGGAACCAAAACCAGACTGGCATCAGATTAGTATCAGCAACCTTGGAGACTAGAATGCAAAAAAGGTGCACATGATAGGATGCCATAGACCATGGAACTAACCTGAGCAGCCTGTGAAAAGAAATCCCAGAATCACAGCTCTGCAGTGTACAGCAGGTCCAGTAAGCAGTCTGTGCATTATAATGGAAAGTCAAGAGTAATAGGTTCCAAGCAATTTATAGGACCAATAAGAAACAAAATTCTTATAGATATCAGTGAAGAATGCAAATGTTGCTTCTCAACAAATAAAGGAGAAAAGGATACTTAGAAACTCCAGGGGAAATACTATAAGAGAGAACCGAGATCAAGTATAAAACAAAGGAAATTGTAACATGACTTTGAAATAAGTAGTTAAATGTACAGGAAGATAATCCATTTCACTGGATGCAGTAAACATTCTCACTGGGCTACTCAAGGGTGAGGACAGTGTTCCAAGTAAAGAAGGAAACTTGTCATAATATAAATAAGAATACAGTAAATAAAAATAAAAGAAGATGGGGGTAGAGGGAAAGCTCTGCTGGCATAGTGCTTAAGCCGTTTGACTGCTAACCAGAATGCTGGCGGTTCAAATCCACCAGCCACTCCTCAGAAGAAAGATTAGGCAATCTTCTTCCGTAGAGATACCACCTCAGAAACCCAAGGAGGGGTCGCTGTGAGTCGGATTCAACTCAGCAGTGAGTTTGGTTTTTTTTTTGGGGGGGGTGGTTATAGGGTGGGCTTGACGTGGTAATAACTTCCTCTTACATAAAAGGATGGGGAGTGGTCAGTAGTTCTATCTATAGTTGATAGGCAAGAAATAGAAGTTTGTATGTAATTGTATTATTGAAAGTTACAAAAGTAACCAAGAGATAGACCAAAATAATGATACAACTAGCAACATTTTGGGAAGGATTAAAGAAAGGGAGGAAGGTGTAAGTTGAGATAAAGCCTTGTCTTTCATAGTAACCCCAGATGGTTACCCTGGCTACTGGAAGGACTCCATGATTTTGGGTCCTTGTACGGAGGTAACCAAGGAGCCATGGTGTTACAGTGGTTAAGCATTTGGCTGCTAACTGAAAGGTCAACAGTTTGAACCCACTAGCTGCTCCACAGGAGAAAGATTTGACAATCTGCTTCTATAAATATTATAACCCAAGAAATCCTTTGGGGTAGTTCTACTTTGTCTTATAGGGTCACTATGAGTGAGAATCAATTCAGTAGCAATGAGTTTGGTTTTTTTGCTTTCTGGAGGTAATTATCACGAGAAAAACTACATACAAAAACTGTTAAAAATTGGGAGAGTGCGTGAGACTGGGGAGGGGAAAGGTGGGACTGAGGAATGTTGTTGCTTTTAATTATAAACCCTCTGTGCTATATTTTATTTTTCCCCATTTATTGATTTTATTTTAATTAAATATAATATATAGAGTAGTAGAACTACTATGTGATCCAGCAGTTCCACTCCTGTGTATATACCCAAAGACGTGAAAGCAGAGACTCAAAAAGAGGCTGATACAGCAGTGCTCGTCACAGCACTATTCACAATAGCCAAATGGTGGAAACAATCTAAATGCCCATCAGAGGTGACTAGGTAAACAAACGTGTCACATGCGTAAAATGGAATACTCAGCCAGAAAAACCCACTGCCATCGAGTTGATTCTGATTCATAGCAAACCTATAGGACACAGTAGCACTGGGCCATAGAGTTTCCAAGGCTATAAATATTTACAAAAGCAGATTACCCATTTTTCCCCCACAGAGCAGTTGGGGAGTTCAAACTGCCAGCCTTTTAGTTAGCAGCTGGATGCCTTAGACATTGCATCACCAGAATGTTGCACAGCCGATATTATTATAATTGCTGTCAATGAGTTGTATGCCTGTAAAAAGTTGTATTGGCAAAAGTTATATGGTAAATATATTTATAACAACGACAGAAAAAAAAGAGCAGCTGAGGCTACTTTTGTACAACTAACAGCTCATGGGATTTGGTTCCTTGGTTTGGAGGTTTAGAGGCATGGTTTCATGGGACATCCCAGTTAATCAGCCTCATAACATGTTTACATGTTTAGTGCTTCTGTTCTACCCCCTAGTTCATTGCATAGTACCTGGGGTCTTAAAACCTTGCAGGCTGCCATCCTGCCTGCAACAATTGGTCTCTATTCACCTGAACAACAGAGGAAGAAATAGAGCGAGAAATAGGAGGAGGATATGGAATGTGTGGCTAATTGCCTCCATGAACAACTCCTCCTTTGCTATGAGACCAGAAGAACTAGATGATGCCCAGCTACCATTACTGAACATTTTGATCAAAGATTCCATAAAAGAATCCTGATCAAAAGGGGGGAAATGCAGAATATTTCAAATTCTCATGGAATCCAGTCTTTCTGGAGCCATGGAGGATGGCAGAAGCTCTGAAATTATTTCCCTGACACAATCTTCAACCCTTAAACCAAAAATATCCCCTGAAGTCATCCTCAAACTGAATAGTAGTTTAGCTTAACTGGTAAAAAAAAAAAAAAAAGGCTGCCTTGAACATTGTGCTCTTTTAAGAACTATATATATAGGATCAAATTGACAACAGCAACTGGAAAGATTAGATAGGAACCTTAGAGGGCAGTGAGTTTATGTTAATGAAGGAGGACCAACTCAGAAAAGGAGGGTGAGGAGGGTTGCACAACTCAAAGAATGTAATCAGTGTCACTAAATTATACATTAGAAGCTTCAATTGGTGTGTTTTGCTTTGTATATTCTCAACAGCAGCAAAATAAAGTAGAGGGGAAAAAATAGAGCTAGTAATAAGTTCATTCATTTAAAAAAGTTAATAGTCTAAGTTAGAGTAAGATGATTTGCTGAATTTCACTATTTCTTCTGAACTTGTTCATTTCCTGAGGGCAAAAGCAGGATTTAGCGCTGGGCTTCCTGTTCTGGTTTGGGCCTCTTTATCTGGAGGGAAAGAAATGTCTTAGAGATAAAATAATTTATTATAACAGTGATAGATGATCACTCTACATAATATGTAGAGCACTGAAAAATAACTCCCCAAAAACTACCGATACGTTAATGTCACCTCGCCAGCATCTCACAACAACATATATAATTTACACCATTTTTATATAACAAAATGGAAGCTTTTCCTTATTTTTGGTTCTTCTAAAGCATTCGTTTACATTGGTGAAATAAATGTACTTAAAGTAGTCTGTATTTTAGGGCACATTTTCTATTATAAATAATACTGTAATAAATAGCTTGCTAAGTAAACCTTTGACTGCATCTCTGGTTATACTTTTTATGGTAATTACTAGAAGGATCATTAGATCAAACATATTTTAGGCACATTCTTGAACTTTTTCTTATTTCTTGGGTGTTTTTAAGAAGATTGTTCTGTTTTCCCGTGCTTTTCTAGTGACCCTCGGTAGTCGGGTTTGACTCGACGGCACATAACAACAACAACAACAACTCAGTAATAGGTTTGGTCCATGTCATCCAGCCACCATCACCAGAGTAGGAGTCCTATTCTGTCTGTAATGTGGCATTTCAGGGATACAAATCACTTGAAGAAAGCAAAACTTGAATAATTCAACATGTATGGCCAGAAGCCATCTAAATTTATAATAATGTAATTATTTAGAACTCTTAAAATAGAGCCGAAGCTTGTCAAAGTAGCAGTTAATTCTGATTATAATCAATGTCACAGGCTTCTTAAGTGGATTGTTATAATAAAATTGTGTTTATGATGAAGATGTTACTAATTATAGCAGCTTGAACGGGAAACAAAGGAATCCAGCCCACTGTAATGCTCTTAGCCAGCAGGAAAACAATAGTAGTGTATATATTCCCTGTCTTCCTCCACCCTGCTCCTTGAGTATCTTGTGGGGTGTTATGCTCAAGCTGTTTTGGAATTTGTGTGGTTTCATTAGTGAGGATGAGAAGAAGTATAGACTTAAATCCTTTGATGATAATGGAGGACCGGAGATGATATTTATAAAATTGTCAATTTTTTAATAGCTAGATCAATAATGTAGAGCTATCCTAATATTATCACAGCAATATGAAACTAGTAGAGTTTATGTAAACACTTTCTTTGATTAGTTTTATAAGCTGGAAATGCAACATTTTTAAATGAGGAAAAGTACATAAAATCGCACAAATGTCTGTTTGCACCATGGGTTTTCCTATGGAAGATATTATCTATTCCCATTTATCCAGACCTGTCCATAAATTTTCAGCCTCTATTTGAAGGCAGTGGTGTACCTATATCTACTAATCTAACTTCTTATGTTTTCTTATCAGGGAGCAAGAGTGCAAAAATTCAGTCAGGGATATTTGGAACAGGATCTGCTTATTCACGACACAATGCTGAAAGACTTTTTAAAAAGCTGATACTTGACAGGATTTTGGATGAAGACTTATATATCAATGCCAATGACCAAGCAATTGCCTATTTGATGCCTGGAACGAAAGCTCAAACTGTACTGAATGGGCATTTAAAGGTATGGACCTAGAAATGTTTATTTTATTATCTCCCAATGACTGGATGAAAATATGTTATAGTAAATTCTGGTGCATCTTCCAAAGCTTATGGATATTGTATTTATATACTCTGTCCTATGTGAATGTATTCTGTCCTTATTAATTTGGAAAGAGATCTTCAGACAGCCCAGGTAACGTGACGCCTATCAAAATGAATTTAATGGGTCATCATATCATTAAGTCTTCATACATTCATCGACTAACCATTTCTCAAGAGGCTATTCTCTGCTAGACCCTTATGATACAAAGATGGAGAATGCATAGCCAGGGCTTGCTGGCGACTTGAGCAGAACAAAAATAGAAAAAAATAAAGCAACTCAGCATTAAGTAGAGCCCCTGTTTGCTGCAAGTATGCATGCATTCACTCTTTTGCTTCCTTTCTCACAAAGGTAGAATTTATGGAAACGGAGAATTCCAGCAGTGTGAAAAAACAAAAAGCTTTAGTGGCAAAGGTATCTCAGCGGGAAGAGATGGTTAAGAAATGTCTTGGAGAACTTACAGAAGTCTGCAAATCCCTGGGAAAAGTTTTTGGTGTCCATTATTTCAATATTTTTAATACTGCTACTCTCAAGAAGCTTGCAGGTGGGTCCTCTGTTACATGGCACAAGTCAATAGGCCAGAGTTAATCTTACTAAGCTATTTTTAAAATGCATAAATATGTCTTCTACTATTACTCTTTGCTCTCTGAATTAAAAACTCAAAGAAACAATTTAAGCTCATTCATGAGGGAAAATTTATTCTTTAAGCTATCTGCAGTATTTTATTATTCACAAATGGTATAATTTTAATTTTATACTTTTGTCTAATGCTGGATGTTAGGATCTGGATCTTTATAATCTCTAAAACCACAGTGATACTCATTTTGTCACTTAATGATTTTGTACTGATTACTTGCCTGCCTTACAATGTTGAGCAATGTTATGTAAACTCAGGTTTCTGCAACTCCTTATCAAAAGAGACTGTGCCTTATGCTTCTTTGAACCCTATCCTAGCACACTGCCATCTAATGCCTTTAGTTCATAAACATTTGCTGATCTTAGTTATTTCCATGGCTTCAAAGAGCTCAACCCAGAATTTCAATAGTAAAGTCCCTGGAATCACAAATCGTTCATATAATTGACTAACTGGTATACATTACTTTCTCTATTCTTCCTTCATAAAAATCCCTTAATCATCACCTTCTCTTTTCCATTCCTACTCCTGCCACTGTACATCATTACTGTATGTCATCGACTCTAAAATGCCATCTATTTTAAGACACTGTTACTTTATGGACTATTAAGAAAGAAAAAATTGTATTCATTAAACTATGACACAGTGCTTTTATTTAAAGAATTGTTTTTTACTTTTTTCAGAAATATTTTTTTATCATATGTAACTCTGTGCATACATAAAAATGTATATACAATCAAAATAAATTGATTTAGGTACTTAGGTCGCCTAAAACACTTGGTTATTGCTCACAAGATACTATGGAATTGAATTGTGGTCATTTCCTCAAAGATAGATATTAACTTTATAAATGCCAAATATATTCCCTATTACTATCTCTGTGCTTTTTTGCACTTGATAATCATGTTTTCATTTCATTGCCAATCACAGTATAGTCTTTTTGAAGACATATTCCGTATGGCAGTTAAACTCTACATGTGAGGAACCAACAATGCAATGACTGTAGACGTGCCGACAGTATTAATAGCTGTGACTAAGTTCTCACATGCACAGGCAGTAACAACCTCATTACAGCTACCATTTGGCCGTCAGCAATTGGAAATCTCAATTTCAGAAATGCTAAAGTGTGAAGCAGTGAGTGTGTCTTAGAATCAATGAAATACAATATTTTATTCCTAGGCTATTAGTGTAGTTTCCTAACTGATCTCCTTACCCTACAGATGTGATCCACATAGATTAAAATGATATTCATTTTAATTTTTCAAAATCTCTGCTAAACTACCACAGCTCTCTAGTTCAGGGTAAAGTACAAATTCCATCAATGGTTTACATTTCTTCTTGCCTTTTCCATCTTATCTTCTACTAACTCCCTTCATCAACTCTTGTTCTTTCTGGCCAAAAGGCCTATTTCTTTTTCCCCAAACATAGGAATGATGTGAAAATCACAGATTTCAAAAATCAGGAAAGGAATGTGTCAGGGTTGTATCCTTTTACCATACTTATTTAATCTGTATGCTGGGCAAATAATCCGAGAAGGTGGACTATACGAAGACGGTAGCCTCAGGATTGGAGGAAGACTCATTAACAACCTGCGATATGCAGACGACATAACTTTGCATGCTGAAAGTGAGAATGACTTGAAGCACTTGCTGGTGAAGATTAGACTATAGTCTGCAGTATGGATTACACCTCAACATAAAATGAAAATCATCACAACTGGACCAAGAAGCAGCATCACAATAAATGGAGAAAAAATTGAAGTTGTCAAAGATTTCATATTACTTGGTTCCACAATCAACACCACTGGAAGCAGCAGTCAAGACATCAGACAGCATATTGTACTGGGCAAATCTGCTGCAAAAGACCTGTTTAAAGTATTGAAGAGCAAAGATACCTCTTTGAAGACTAAAGTGCACCTAACCCAAGCTGTGGTATTTTCGATCACCTGATATGCATGTGAGAGCCGGACAGTGAATAAGGAAGACCGAAAAAGAGTTGATGCTTTTGAGTGGTGGTGCTGGTGAAGAATACAGAAAGTACCCTGACCAGAAGAACTAACAAATCTGTTCTGGAAGAAGTGCAGCCAGAATGCCCCTTGGAAGCAAGAATGGCCAGACTTCGTCTCACCTGCTTTGGTCATGTTGTCAGAAGGGACTGTTCCCTGGAGAAGAATATCATGCTTGGTAAAGTGGAGGGACAATGAAAAAAGGGAAGGCCCTTAACAAGATGGACTGACACACTGGCTGCAACGATGGGCTCAGGAGTAGCAAGGATTGTGAGGCTGGCACAGGACTGGGCAGTGTTGTATTGTACATAGGGTCACTATGAGTCAGAGCCACCTCGACAGCACCTAACAACAACAGCAAGTAATCTGAGGAATTATTGCTCCCTCCCTGCCCATAGCTAATCCATCTGTAAATGTACAGACCTAACCTCCAAAACCTAGCCAATCTGTCTCTTCTTTCCATCTCCACTACTGCATAGTTCAGTCCTTCCTCACTTACTCCTGCAGTATCTTCCACTAGGTTCCCAGTTCCCACTCTTTCCTCTCACAGTTCATTTTCCATAGAGCAATCAGAGTGATTTTTAAAAATGCAGTATTGTCTATCCATATACACAGAACGCCTAGCTGCCTCCTTGTTAAAGTTGCAACAGAACACTTGCTTTGTCCCATGTGGATGAAGACTAGGGGATGAACAGGTTCAGATTGTGGGGAGCAAGAATTCAGTTAGGTGCCATCAAGTCAGTTCTGACTCAGCAACCTTTTATACAGCAGTATGAAATACTGCACCATCCTCACAGTTATGCTTGAAACCCATCCATCATTGCAGCTACTGTGTCAATCCATCTCCTTAAGGGTCTTCCCCTTTCATGCTGACCCTCTACTTTACCAAGCATGATATCCTTCTTTAGGGACTGGTCTTTTCTGACAGCACGATCAAAGTACAAGAGACGAAGTCTGGCCCTTCTCACTTCTAAGGGGCATTCCGGCTGTACGTCCTCAAAAATAGACTCGTTCATTCTTCTAGCAGCCCTTAGTACATTCAGCATTATTTGCCAACACTACAGTTCCAGTGCATCAATTCTTCTATGATCTTTCTTATTCATTGTCCAGCTCTCACATGCATACGAGGGGCTTGGGTCATGTGGACCTTAGTCTTCAAAGTAACATCTTTGCCCTTTCATGCTTTAAAGGTCTTTTGCAGCAGATTTGCCCAATGCAATACATTTGATTTCTTGACTCCTATTCCATAGGTGTTGATTGTGGATCCAAGTGAAATAAATTTGACAACTTGAATCTTTTCTCCACTTACCATATACTGTGTATTGGTCCAGTTGTGAGGATTTTTGTTTTCTTTATATTGAGGTATAATCCATACTGAAGGCTATAGTCTTTGATCTTCATTAGTAAATGCTTCATGTCTTCTTCACTTTCAGTAAGCAAGATTGTGTCATCTGCATATCTCAAGTTGTTAATGAGTCTTCCTCCATTCCTGATGCCACGCTCTTCTTCATATCATCTGGCTTCTCGAATTATTTGCTCAGTGTATAGATTGATAAGTATGATTAAAGGATACAACCCTGACACCCACCTTTCCTGATTTTCAACCATGCAGAATCCACTTGTTCTGTGTGACCAGCTACCTCTTGGTCTATGTACAGGTTCCTTGTGAGAACATTAAGTGTTCCAGAATTCTTCCCAAGGTTATCCTTAATTTGTTATGATATACACAGTAGTCAATAAAACACAGGTAAACATCTTTCTAGTATTCTTTGCTTTCAGCCAAGATCCATCTGA